AACGTTTGAACGAAAGTTTGCTGACTCCAAGTTGTGCAATATATTAATATTTCTGATTAGTTGGAATTATATAAACAATCGACACATTGGTGAGTATATAAATTAATTTCAAATCCCAAGTGAATGAGCCCTGCTACCGGTATCGCTTTATATCGACCAATCACACATTTTAAAAAGTCCATTTTCCCCATTCAATTTGAATGATGAAGTCCCAATGCATGACGACAACTGTGCGTCATAAACTGTATAAGTCTGCCTCGTTTTCAAAGCGGTATTGCTAACATCTTTTACTGGTTTACAGAGAAGAGTGAAATAATAGAGCCTAAGCAACTACGAGCTTCCCTTTCGAAAACACACTCATTCGATTTCACCGAGATTCGTCGCCTAGTCATCGTCAAAATGTATGTATGTAAGAAGTTCACCGAAAATATTGCACACTAAACCAATCGCTAGCTGTGCTGCTTTCAACCTATTTCCTAATTTTATTTCTAGTTGATTTCAGCCAATACGCCGCCGGCAATTTATACCCGTTTGTGTATATGCGTACTTACGACTTTTTTCCATGCATAAACGTATTATTTCTATAGAACATGAGTATAGTCGTGTTATTTCTCTATCAATGCACCCAAAATCCATATGTTTTTTTTTTCATTTGCGTGATTTGTTTCAATGAATTTATGCGAAATCAAAGGGTATAATTCTCGGTCGGACCCTGTAGATGATGCAGTAATGACTAATATTTAAAATAAATAAAGTAAACTCACACGGCGAATGATGACTACGAGTGTGATATTTGTTATGAGATCTGCATCACAAATATTACCTTAAGGTTTAATAAGCAGTACTGATACAGAGTATTTCGCCATTTTTGTTGCAATGAACAAAAAAAACCTTTGTTCATTAGATTTGGAATTATTTAACATCCACGAATATTTCCAAACGAAACCCAGAACTAAAGAGGGAACAATTTGATAGCATTTGTCGGGTGCTTGTAATATAGTTGATGCTTCATATACACAATTCTTTGAAGCATTTCGTTGGAAATACTATATTGGCAGAAAATACCGTTAATTTCCTTAATTTGGCTGGAGGCAATTATTACATTTAAATTGTATAGAGCATATAACATTTTAATCTCGACTCATAAGGGTGATTGAAATTGGTCAATGAAAATTATGAAAAAATGAAAATCTGTATCCCTATACTACCAACTAAAATATGTTCGAAGAACATTACAATTGTTGAAGAGCGCACAACATTTTACGTTCAACAAACGAATCGTTTAAAATTGCGAATTTTTTTTTTATTATGTACTTTGCCGGTTTCAGTTTGTTGTTGCCGGTTAAAGATTTCTAATAAGTGTATATGGGTGCATTTGGATTTTTGAGAAAACTTTCAACTTTTCTAAAGACATATTTCAGAAATCTGCAACGTGAAAAGCATAAAATCGAATACTGCAGAGACCGAAAAAATGGTCGGTTGTCACTTTTATTCTAAACATTTCAAATGTAATACGGTGAAAGTTGAGAGTGTGAAAATGAATCTTAAACATATGGAACAATTGTAATTTTAGCTGGAAGCGAACTTTTGGTTGCTCTAACAATTTCATTGTTTCATCAAATCTCAGCCGGCGACAGCGGGCACAAGTGGCGAACGCACTTAAAGTGAATATCACTGGTTTTGTGTTCGCTTTCGGCATGAAAATTAACTTTGGCAGAAGTTTTTTTTTTCATTTGATTTACATATGACTAAAAGTGATTGAAAGGTTAATATAATCATTTTCAATATTTGCTTCCATATTTTTCTTGACTCATTGTTTGTGAACCTATCGGTTCGTTTGAGTTTGTCAATGTTTAAATCAACAAACAGAATTGAACAATCGACATAATGACATCTCACTCGATGCTTTTGGGTTTCACTTTTTATATGCAGTCTTTTGTCTTTGATTTGATTATCTTTTGATGCCAAGATAATTAATGTATGTCCAATCGAGTTTGGTGCTTTCATTGTCACGTCTCCGTAGGGATTGTTACGATTTTCTGTGCTACTATTCCATTCGATTTTCACTATTTCAATGTTCATGAGAACAGTTAATCAGATACACATTCTCTCTCTTCACACGCTTACGCACAGCATTCAATATTTTCACCTCCGAAACCACGATATTAATATTAAATTCATCATTCAACTATGTTATTTGCTCTTTCATCGTTTGCCGCGATTTCTATCGAAGCATCCACCTGTACAGTGTACAGTGATGAAGCTATGCTCGAACATATTCGGTTTCTTCAGCTTTCGATGAGAATGAACTTTGGAGAAAATAGAGTGCGCTAAGCGCACAATGAAAATACAACAACGAATCAATTAAGATTAAATGATATTTACTGCTATTGTGAAGACGAAAGGCGACATTGTGCACTTAGACTTGGTATTCTTTAAATTTTGCTCTATAGAAAATGAAAATATCGATTTGAGAAAATATTTATTATATTAACTGAAAAATTGAGTTAAGAACACCTTTTGTGAAAACAAAGATAGGCTCAACAGCTTTGAAATCAATTCAAGTTTGACAAATACAGAAATTTAACCAACTTTTTCAAGGGGCGATCACACGATTTAGAGTGTTGAATAATCTAAACTAAATAGCATGTTGTGTATCGACAACGTTGACATTTTATTGAGATGATCTTCTTATTTTCATACTGACATTGTGAACTCTTATTAGATTATCCAAAGAGCGTTGCCGTCAATCGAGTTGCCAACAGACACATATACTAATACATATAATAATGGACTTGATTTTTTCAAACCTCTCATGTAAAATTCTGCGTCATTGTACAACACTCGTGTGTTTTCAATGTACGCACTCGCGCTCAAACGGATTGTGATTCTTGTCGTCGAAGTATGTGGAAGAGTTCCCAAACTTTACTGCACAGTGGCAGAAAAATCACAAACCCCATCCCAATACAGTGCCGGCTCTTATATATGTATATGGACTGTTCTTCAAAAATTTAATTGAACGTATAGAGTAATTTCGAACAAATACCGACACTGCGAACATGAAAATTTCGTTTCTTTAACGTTTTCAATGTGTCTAGAATGCATTGTTACTGAAAGTAGCATAGCGAGATACCGAAATTTCATGTAGTGCTACAAACGAAAGATTTGCTCCCATGAACATGGCAACAAACTTGATACACAACGTATTTGATTACTAAATTGCAATGTGTAATTAAATTCCATTTAATTCTGTACTACCGAAGTAATGAGATGAAACAGAAGAGGATAAATATCCATTACTGATTGTTACATATTTGAATTTACAAATGAATTTCCCGTTTGAAATAGTTTCAACACCAAAATAAATGAAAACCGACCGCCCATAGAAATAGAATCAATTTCAATGTGTATTGACATTGTTGTTTGCTATGTTACAAGGAATGAAACATATTTCAGTTGACAAAGCATTCAAATGGTTCATGCGATTCAAATAGTCAAAAACGGAAAGCAGGTAGCAAACATGTAGATGTCGATTATTCCATTAGTTGACACTGCATGAATTGTAGAGCTATTGCTCAGATTTTTTGTCAAGGAATCTTATGATTTTTTTGAACACTTTTTAAGCCGAATTTATGATTCAATGAACTTTCTATTTTATGCATATATAAATTGTTTAAATTGAAACAGGGGCGTCTGTTCAACCCATTTTGGCTCCGCGTTGAGAAAACGCAGATTTCGCCCACCTGAAGCCAGGGCCGTAGCCAGGATTTTTCCTAGGAAAGTGTGGTTCCACTTTA